ACAAGCGGTGGAAAACAGCAGGGGAACTGAGGAGAGCATTGAAGGGTTGCCACAACCTTCAGGACAATCTGAGAATAGTCACAGACTCCATACACCCATCCTGGATTCTCTTGCTGAGAGAGGGAAAGCAATGGCGTGAGGGAGATTGGGCTACATGAGAAGATGATCCGGAGCCTAAACAGATCTTCAGGGTGTGGGAAACGGACAAAGATAGGAATGAATGGCTAGCAGCTGATAAATACGACATAATACAGCCGAGCAGTACCACTTCCCAACTAGACAAGTCTTCCAAAGCACCACTGTATATTCTCAAACAAGGGTTACAGAAGGTAAGAGTGATAGAGATGGAAGAGTATACAGTATACAGTTCAAAAGTACCAATCGAGGACCTAGAGGTTGACCCTGGAGAATGGGCTTGGAGCATTAGAAATGGGCAATCAAGAGTAGCAAGAAGAACCAACATCCTCCAATATACCACAAAAACGGGGTATAGACTGAGGAACAGATCCAGCTCCGTGGGACACTCTCTGACCAAACGCTGGGAGAAGAAAGTAGGGACCCCTAGGAGCCTAATGCCTGATATACCGTGGTCTAACATCCTATCTATCAGACTGGGTCAAGTTAGAAGTATGCAATGGCTAATAGCGCACGTGGCACTACCAGTGAATGTGTGGCTCAACGAAAGAAGAAGTCACAATCAGAGAAATGAGGAAGCGGAGCTTTGCAAGGTGTGCCAAGAAGGGCTTCCGGAAACATTGGTGCATTGTCTGCTGGAATGTAAGGAGGCAGAAGTATTGTGGGAACAAGTTAGGGGGATTTGGAAACAGGTAGCGACGATAGCCTTTCCAGAGTCAAAGATTACCATGCTTTTGGGGAYYGGGGTTCCYAAAGGATGRCAACCCTAYYAGAGGCACAYCTTTCAACTGYTTAGACAATATGGACTGTGGACCATTTGGAAGAGGAGATGTCAGGCAACTATGGAAGGAACACTAACTCATAGGGAGGAAGCTAGAGAGCTGCTCCTCCACACAGTGGAATCACATCTCAACGCACAGTGGAAAAGGGTGAGACAGCAAGCTAGGCAACAACCTGGGCAAGAGGAGGAAATAATCAAAAAATTTAAACAGAAAACGTCGGGTCACGGGAAGGTAGCAGAGCCCAGAGGTGCACAGCTTCGCTTCAAATGCAGAGAGGAGGGAGGAGGAAGCCAGGGAACAGAAAGGGTGGAGGGATAAAGGAAAGAGAGGTAAATTAACTTCCCCTTTGTTGGGCATCCCTAAGTGGCCTCCGAAAACATTATAGGATCCGGGTTGAGTTCATCAGCAAGACTTCCCTTGAGTCATTTGGAAGGCAAGATGCAGCAGAAAGATTGAGGAGACCGCAAACCCACGGGAGAAAGCCTAGGCAGAGACTAAGGTTCTCATACGGGCAGAATTTCTACGCAGATGGAAGAGGACCAAGAGAACAGGGACAGATGGCGAAGAGCAGTGGAAGAAGGCTAGAGACAACTCCATCACGACTCGGTTGGCAGGGGGGAGGGTTGCTCAGAAGAGGAACGATTCTATCGGGAGGTAGGAGTGGCACAACTCCGTTTCAAGAAGAATTCTGGAAACAGGTAGCGAAGTCTGCCTTCCCGGACTCAAAGATTGCCAGGTTATTGGGGACAGGGGTCCCCAAACGGATGCAAGCCTACCAGAAACACATATTTCACCTGCCGAGACAATACAGACTGTAGACCATTTGGAAAAGGAGATGTCAGGCCACGATGGCAGGAACGCTAAGGCATTGGCAAGAAGCTAAGGAGTTGTTCCTCAGATTATTGGAAACTCACCTCAATGCTCAGTGGAAAAGGGTGAAGCAGCAGGCAAGGCAGCAACCGGGACAAGAAGAGGTGATAATTGAAAAGTTTAAGCAGAATACACTGGGACAGGGAGCGGTTGCACAAATCAGGGGCACACAACTGTGCTTTATACGGAGGGAAGAGGGAGGAGGAAATGTGGGCATGGGAGGAGGGTAAGATAAAGGGGCAAGAGAGAGGGAGAGGGGCAAAGTGGAAGAACCAGGGAGGAGGGGGGAACAGGAAGGGCAGCCACGCCGCTGAAAACATGAGGGACAAAAGCGCCCGTAAGAGGGTATCGCAGCGGTGCAATGGGCACCAGAGTGCTCCTGTAAAAAAAAAAAAAAAAAAAAAAAGAAAAAGGAAAGGGTTCGACTATTGGAGGTCGGGCGCAGGCGAAAGGTTTAGGGTGTCGGGTTTATCACAGATCTTCCAAAGAGATAGGGAGATGCGTGGGGAAGATACAGACCAGCAAGTTCATTGGATGAGCTCTTTCTAGGGACAATGGTGCTATCTGGCAGACCTGGACCCTAGGTCTGAGAGGAGAGAGTGGGATAGGGCAAGCTGACAGTCAATCCTCCACCACGATGGAGCAATCAATGCTGTTCAGGGATCCTTCGGTCGGACGGAAGGAAGCGTATGTGAGTTTTCTGGATGTAATGCTATTTTGACTTGCCGGTGGAATAGGAACCGGACTGACGCTCCCCAGAATAGAAGGAGCCAGGACC